TTCCCATTAATTGGATTCATGATATTATTGTAGCATAGCATGTATGCCTCAATACTATAACAGTTGTCAACAAAATCTTTTGGCTCATTCCTGCAATCAATTATCACGGCAACGACATGGATACACAATATACTTGTGATATCCTATTTCCTACATGCACATGTTTGTTCCTCAAGATCGATGGCAAATGTCCCATAATTGCATTCTACTTGCCACCCCAGCCCCCCGAGAAGAGCAAAGTGCATTCCTTTGACATCTTGGCCGTCTTGTCCAACTTTTTTTTAATCTTTGTACACAAATGACCTTAGCATCTCCTCGTCTTGTGTCACCTTTTTTGTATCTTTGTCATAAAAGCCATTTGCACTGACAAGAACTTGCAATTCAAATTTTTCTAAACTTGGAACTTCTAAGAATATCAATACAATCGTTTTTCAATTTTTCACAAGTTCAAATGGCACAAGTTCAATCATCAATGTCATCAAAACCATAAAAGCCTTTTTTGTATCTTTGTCACAAACGACCTTAGACAAATAATCTTTTTTCAGTTTTGGGGTAAGATTTGAATCAATAGGTTTGAAAATTATATCAAGAGGTTTCTTCCTATCCTATTTAGATAAGGAAGCCTCAAAATCAGATTTGGTTTCAATTCTTGATAATTGAGAATGGACATATTGAAGAACAATGTTAGTATAATCGTTTTGAGATTGAATATTTTTTATATCTTTTGCTATAGTACTAGAATCTTCTTTCCTATCAGTAGGAATTTGTTTGAGGAAGGATGCAAAATTTCAGTGTTTCCATGAGAAATAACTATTTCTTGTATCGGAGGATGTTCAGATTAAAAACCTTGACCAGATGGAGTCTTCTTATTAACATGGGTATTTTGAATAGATTTATTTTTAACAATTTTCTTACCAAAATGTGTCCATTCATAAAAACTAAAATCTTCAGAAGAATCATAAAATTATTCCCATAAAAATTCAATTTCTTCTTTCGAAAACATCTTTTAGAGAGTATGACGAAAATTTCTAACAAGAGTTCGATCAGTTTTGAATTCATTTTTTTCTATCAATTATAGAAGAAATAACATTACACTGACTATCCAATCGTTCTGATTGATTGGGTAGTATATATGTCAAAGTAGGAAAGTCAGGTTGTTCTAATTCACTATCTTTATCAGGTGTATATTGAGTCTTTGGATGATTGGAGTAAAATCAACTCTTATCAACTTATATGTAGAAATTGAAAATTTTGCAGATTGAAAAGGGTTTTCAAATCTAATTTCAGATTAGGAAGGACGGGACCTTCAGAGATTATTCGATGTTGAAGCTTTATCGAAAATCACCTTTACATGTCCACTAGGAAATGAAATAATTGATCAGGAATTGGCTTTTGAGAATTTTCAAAATCCCGTTCAAGTTCTCTAGATTGAAGATTCAATGGTATCCTTTTAGGAATCATGGTATTTGAATGAAGATGGTTGATCTCCACCAGAAGGATTTCTTCCTTAGGAGATGAGCGAAGAGCTCTAATATTGAGTTGGATATTCATGAGCTTGTAATATATTCGATATGTTACAGTAAATACTTTTGAACAATCATCAAAATCGAGGATTTTTGTTTAAATTTGAAGAGTAAGAGCAAGAGCATTAAGAATAGCTCCATTATTAAGATTGATAGTAAAATTTGGGTTACAGTTTGAAAAAATTGGACCGCTTTCAAGATTTGAAAAGTAATGAATGTTCAAATTTGAAAAGTCTCTTATCTCTAAAAGTTAAAAGAATAGGAATGCCTAGACAAAGTCTAAATAGAGGTTTGACAGCAAATAAGAAGATATTTGAATATCTTTCTCTGGGTTTGAATAGTATCTTTTGAAAATAGATTTTTTTGACCTGTTTGATTTTTTTTATCGCAAGAGTTTGTTAAAGAGTTTTGATAACATAATCTTAACGAAAATCAAACTTTCATCTTTCATAGATGGAACTCTTGTCTACCTTTGGAATAGTCCAGCTATGAAATTTTTGTTCAATTTGAAGTTCATAAGAATTGAAATTGTCTAATGCAGATACATGTTTTTGATCTAATTATTCTTCATCATGGAAAGTGTTTGAAAAATTATCAGTTTTACTATTTGATCTCCTAAACCAATTAGAAATTAAAGACTTAATTGAATAAGATAAAACTACAATGACATACCACAGTAGATGTATTGCTACAGGATAGATTGAATCAAACTCAATCCTACAACGGGAGCACCCTACGCTCACTTGGCTTTACGGGCTGACCAACGCTATTCAGCAGGCTTCAGGTACCAACTTCTCCCTTGACACTGTTCCTAAAACAGTATAACATTATAACCTCACCCCGAACACTTATGACTCTAGTACCAGAATAGGCCCAGGGGACGAGGTGAATAATAAATATATCTTCCACCCGCGACCAAACCTTAAGGTAAGGATGTCATATTTTCAAACTTTTACGATCACAGGAGATGAAGGTCACACAATCAAATTCACTTTTCAAGTAAAAAAAGAAATATTTAATTTTAACAACACATTCACAACTATTACCCACGAAATGTGTTGTTAATAAATGGGTAGTAGTTGTGAATGTGGTTAAAAATCAAGGTACTAAAATGCATAATACGTGGCAATGCGTTCTGATCAAGTATCAAATATTACACACATATACGTGTCTATGCAAAGGATATGCGTAATTATGTGTTTTTCAATTTTTAATATTATTTTAAATATACTAAATAATAAATAAATAACATAATGCATTATTTGAACTTTATACACGTTCTTCAGATTTTAAAAAATATATATATTGCTCAAAATTATAAATACTACATTTACTTGAAACGGATACCCGCTAAGTTTAAATGACCGTCTTGTCCATTTTTTGTGCACCGAAATGATCCTACATATCAACTTGACATTTTAGTCCTTTTTTGGTGGCCTTAAAATTTAAAAAACATAGTTTTGAATAGCATTTTTCAGAGAATGTGTGGTTAAAAAATATAGTCGGACCTGAGAATAGGCTCAAGAGGTCGCTGTCTTAGGCCCAGCTCTATAGGGAGCCCAAACAACCATTTAGGAAGCTAAAAAAAAAATTTAAGTTTCCTTTATTTAAAAAAAAAAAAAAAACCATTTTTTAACAACCCAAATTAAATTGCTCATATGCCAAATATTAAAGCCTCACAGGTCCATCCACAATTTTTTAAACTAATTGAATTTATCCCAATTTTTAATTATGTATTCTGAATCAAAATAGAGGGTTTTCGATCTTAGGCTGCATTGATTCTCGTTATTATCAATTTTTCATCCATCTTCAGTTCAGAAAAGAATTTTTTAAAAGAAACTTTTTGGCTATACATGTGAATGAGCAGGCATGTAATACAAATAAATAAATGTAATTGTCTTATTGATTTATGATTCTTTAGTTTATTAGGGATTAGTGATTAGTTCACAATAGCTTCTGATTCTATTGTGGATAGTGGATTGTCTTTAATTAATTTATGAATTATAACTTATGAGGGATTCATCAATATGGTACTACCAATTGGTTTAAAATATATATATATATAGACACACACACACACATTATCATTCTTATGAATTTGCCTTTGTCCTTTATTTCATTCACTATTTTTAATTGCTGACATTATTTTTTTTTCCTTAATGGACTACCACTCTATTTCATCTTTTGTTTTGTTGCAAATTGTTTAAGATAGAAAAAAAATGATAAAACGTATTGGCCAATTGGGTCGTGATATATACAAAGATTAGCATACTATGCATCCGCGTCTTACAAAATATGAAGTGGGTAAAGAGCATATAGGTTGCATTACTAGTTGGATGGAACTGGAAAATAAGCTTCAAACAAAACATACAATTTACGAAAGCATACAATTGACCATTAATAAAGACAGAGAGCACTAAAAACAAATTTTAGCGAGGATAATTGTTATTGTGAAAAAACTTGCTAAAAATACTTTGACATTTTGAAGAGTGTGAACAACTTTATGTTAGGAGTTGAAAGTCTTGGAAGTGTAATTTACCTAGATAAACAAAAAGATGAATTGATGTCCTACATTACATGAAGAAAATGAATGGTGGTTTCTCAAATGTTTGCATTGCTTACAAGATTATCGGTTACAATTGCATCAGCACAAAAAAAGTTTCTCCAAGTTGAAGAAATAGTTGAACAACTCGACTATCTAAAATTGATTGATATTTGTCTCTAAAACCGTGAGAGTTGTTATACAAGTGATAGTTTAAAACATTTTTTCAATGTTATTTGATTGTAATATAAATATTTTGAATATTTTATGTTATTTGTTGTCTTATTGTTACTTTTAGGTTAACAAATTTAATTCCGTAAAACTCTTATAAATGAAGAAATTGATTGCTTGCTACGATAAAGAAGTCCAAATTCTAAAGTTCGCCTCAAACCCCGCAAAATATAAGTACGATTCTGTTAAGAAGTAGGAGAAAGTTTTAAATTTATGTATAAAATATTTTATTGTGTAAATGTGTTGTTGAAAAAGAATATGAAAAACAATTTAAAGTAAATTAAAGGTTGTCAAACAGGGGCTTAATGAGATGTAATACAACCCAACAGAAAACGAAGGATTCAAATTTCGATCAAACAATGGCGAAACAGCAATAGATGTTGCTTTTCTTCTTCCTCTTCCTCTTCCATTATTCTTTCTTTCTTTTTTTTTTTATTTGGAGATCAAATTCCACTTAAAAATTGAAAGGTTCAACTAATTGCAATGAAACTGCAGTGAGTTTTTTTTTTAAGTTCCATTAACCTTGCCTGTAATAAAATTACATCTGACAATATTAAAAATCATACAACACAGATTTATACAAACTTGGAGAGGCAGGAAACAGCACCATTGGACATATATTGATGAAGACGGACGAATACAGCATCAAATCAAGGCAAGACCCACAATATTTGAAGCCGGTATTAGAGTTGAGCATATAGATCTCATTCCCTTGGACGGGCGAGCCAAAGACTGCTAAGTGCTCGAAGCCGAGAGAAATAGTCATTGATTGCAAGAAGATCACGAGCTGACTGGCGAGTTGTCAGTATACGGTGCATATGTTGCAAAGTATGTTGCCGCAAATTATCAGCCTGTAAATAAGGGTTTCATTCATTAAAATGTTAATCATGAAATGATTCTGTTTACATCCAAATATAAATTGTATGTTCCCAAGCTATGGATCTTATATTGCAAAAGCTTGCATGACTGCCCCACACTACGCCAAAAATGACATTTTGCAACACATGAACGGCAACATTTGTTAGATAAATGTTGCTAAAGGGATCAATTGCAACATTTTAATAAGTAAATGTTGCTATTGGGTTAATCTAATTGACTTTTGGCAACATCGTCTAATAAATGTTGCTAATGTCACCTTTCGCAACATTTTGTGTATGTTGCAAAAAGGCTGTATCCTTTTGCAACGTTTATTAGACGTTGCAAAAGG